CCAACTCATCTCCTCCTTGACTTGAAAAAAAAACCCCTCTCTCTCTCTCTGCAAAGCAAGCGAAAAGCCCACTGACTCATTTTTTAATACACGCAGCTCATAAGCTCCGGCGCCGAAGCCGCGCTCGCCGCGCTTCCTCGCCGCCACGAGGCGTACCTCGCCGAGGCGCAGCGTCTGCAGGCCGCCTACGCGTCCCAGATTCACGTCCTCATCGGCTTCGAGGCCGAGTTCATCCGGCCCGCGTACGGTCCGCTCGTCACCCAGCTCGCCGCCGCGTCGCCCTGCGTCGACTACTTCATCGGCTCCGTGCACCACGTCCACGGCGTGCCCATTGACTACGACGCCGCCACGATGCGCGCCGCCATTGCCGCCTCGTCGCGCGGCACCGAGGAGGCGCTCTACGAGGACTACTACGACCTGCAGCACCAGATGCTCGCGGCGCTGCGGCCTCGCGTCGTCGGCCACTTTGACCTCGTGCGTCTGCTCAGCGAGGATCCGGCCCGGGATGTGCGGCAGTGGACGGGGGTGTGGGAGCGCGTCCGGCGCAACTTGAGGCTAGCGGCTGAGCAGGGCGCGTGGCTCGAGTGCAACAGCGCGGCGCTGCGCAAGGGCCTGGCGGAGCCGTATCCGTGTCGCGTCATTGCAGAGGTGAGTTTGAGCAAAAAAGGGGATGGGGGATATTGAATCAAATGATGAGGTGAAACGAGAAGGGGTGGGAGCTTTGAACTGATTGTGGTGGTGTGTGTGTGCAGGAATGGCTCAGACTCGGCGGCAAATTCACATTGTCCGACGATAGTCACGGCATCGGCCACGTCGCCACAAACTATCTCGGCGCCGTCAAATACCTGCAGAGCCTCGGCGTCGAGCACGTCTGGACGTTTCGGCGACGTCCGCATCCATACGCGTCAGATCAAGGCCGCGCGACGCTCGAGGATGTCGCGGTGCCGCTGGCCGAGATTCGCGCGCAGTTTGAGCCTGTTGCCGAGCAATAACAGAAAGGCTTTTTTTTCCTGCGCATCTGGGCCAGCATGTACAGGAAAGGAACCGGGAGCGAATTTCACAGCAAAACTTCGTTTTTTGCCAGGTCACTACGGGAACGGGCGACGCAGGACGTACGCAGAGTTGGGGAAATAGAAAAAAAAAAAGGTTCAATACTTCGGTTTCTAGAATACAAGTCAAAAAAGACAAGGAGGGTGTTGAAATAAGAGACCAGCCAACGGTACAGTCATCAACTCCATGAAAAGCATGGGGTATCTTACAATATAATATGAGACGAATGGATAGGAGAAAAACAGTATAAAGAGTCAAGGCCGGCCAGTGCAATAAGGGGACCCCTCCAAAGAAACAAAACCAATACACAAAATGCTTCAGTCAACTAAAGCCGTACTAATCAATATCCTGAAACGGGTGCGTCTTGCCCAAAGTTCCAAAATGTAAAAAGTAGAAACAGACTGCTCTTCACAACGTCAAGCAGGTCAATGTAGTAATGACACAACGTCAAAGGTCAATAATGTAATGACACAACGTCAAACAGGTCAATGGTAGGATGACCGAATGATACCCATTATACACCATGGGGCGCCTCCGGGACTTGCCACACAGCCTTGGGTCCGGCCTCATCCTCGGGCTTGACGTCACCCGCCCGTGCCGCAGCCTCTGCACCGCCACTGCTACCGGGTCGAGGCGCAAACGGGATGCCACCCGAAGTGTACTGGAACAGCTGCGACACGACGACGGGCTTCTTCTTGGCAGGGCTCGGCGTCGCCGCGGGCGTGCTGGCCGCGGGCGTGGACATGGTAGGCTCCAGCCACTGCAGCGGCGAGTCTTGGCGCTTCACGGCCACGGGTATCGGGCCTTCAGGCTGGTAGCTTATGAACAGATCCGGGTCCGTGACGCTACCGCTGGCGGCCACGGGGATGGTGGTGGCGGTGGTGGTGGCGGTGGCGGCGTTGGATATGTTGCCCCCGCCTGCCCTGTGCTCGAGCGGCGACGGCGGGTCGAGCATGGACTGCTCGTCGAGGGGTGTGGAAAGACCCGACGCTGTGGTGCGGCTGAGGAAGGCGGCATCGGACGGCGCGAGCTGCGACGGAGACGTCTCGACAGCGGACGAGGAGCCCGCCGGCGGCGTCTGTCCCTGTCCTGCGTCGTAGCTGCCGAGCGGAGGAGCTGCTGGCTTGGCGGCCGTGGTTTCTTGCTTGAGAGGCGCACCCGCCTCCTTTTGCGATTGCGTAATCAGGTTAATCTTGATCTTCCGCATGCCCGTAGTAATCCTATCCACAGCAGGCACGGGCGGCTCCGAGGCCGGCGCGGGAGGCGGCGACAGAGGAGGCTGGCTCTTTGGTCTAGGCTTGACCGCTGTCTTGGCCTTGGTCGACGACGGCGTCGCAGCCCGGCGCGCACGTGGCGTTTTCGGCGTCGTCTCCTTGGGCGTCGTCGTCGTCGTCGTCGTCGTCGTCGTCGTGCCTCTCTGCTGCCTCGTCTTCTTCACGGTCAGGTTTTGCGGCGGCGGCGGGGCACCGCGAGCCGGCTCCTGGATATGACCGCTCATGCTAGAGTCGGCGCGGTTGCTGCTGCCGGATGTCGGGGGCCGGCTGTGCTCGTACTCGGCGGGCAGCGGCGGGACCGGAACGGCGGCATCGTCCTTGTTGCCGGGGCTCTGCGATGCAATCGACTCGCTGAGACGGCGCGAGCGTCTGCGGTCATGGCTGGCAAACGCCGCCGCTTGTTCGGCCTCGGTAGACTTGGCCCTGGCAGCTCGGGACGCGGGTCGCTTGCTCGGCGATGTAGGGCCCTTGGCGCGCTCGCTTCCTTCGTCGGCGGGCCACGCGCTGCTCTTGGCTTTGCGCTCGCGCAGCGCCATGCGGGACGTTGGCCTTTCCTGCGGCGCGGGCGTCGGCGGGATGGGGATGCCGAGGAGAATCGACTGCGCATCACGCCTGGCGCGTGTGGCCTCGGCGTTTAGGTCCTCGGCCTTGCAGCTGTCCACCTGTCGGTCGCCGGGGATGAGAATCTTGCTGAGCTCGTGCGCCGCGACCGTCCACGGCACGTCGGGCGCGACCGGCGATGCGGCGCGGGGCCGCTGGATCGTCGAGGAGAGCCCGGACAGGCTGCGCCGCACCTTGATTGGGTCTATAACCTTGGCGGAGGATGCTTGCGTCGCCGAGAAGTAGGTTGGCGGAGTGCCTGTGCGCGGCTTTCTGGGAGGCGACTGAGGGTACGCGACGAGAGATTCGAGCGAGTCCAAGTGCTGGCTAGACCACCAGCCGGCGTCGTATTGATGCAGGGAAGGTCCGGCAGGCGGCTGAGTAGCCGCGGCTTCTGGGCCTGGCTCAGCAATGGTACCCAACTTTTGGCCCATTTCGTAGCCCAGACCACGGGCCGCGTCCGATGCTTGCGTAGACTGGTCGCTGACCAGACCACTCAGATGGCTGAAAACACCCGAACACAGAGCTCTGTCGCTGTAACCGCCCTCCAGGACACTGATGACGCGGCCGCCGACATGGAGACCTTGTTCGTTGGCAATCTTGACAACGTCTTGGCTGAGTCGGGCATAGAACTCGGTGGGAACGTTGACTTGGTGTCGCTGCATGCCTGCGCTCTCCCACTCGCTGGCATCAAATCCGGCAGAAAGAAAGATGGCTGCTTTGGGTTCTTTGCCTTCTGCTCGCAGCTTCCTTGCCTGTGCCTTTAGATACGCGCGCGTCTTTTCTACAATGACTGAGTATTTTGATTCGTAAATGTCCCAAAACTCCTTTTCCGTCTTCCAAGAGTGCAAATGGACATTCCACACGTTCTGTCCGTGGGCATTGTCAATACAGAGGGACGCATTCTTGACCTTGTCCTCGTCACCCATCTCGCAAGGATACGAGTTGATGTCGTGCAAGCTAAAGTATCCAATGGAAGTCTTCTTCCACTGCTGAAAGTTTTTGGTCGCGGCATTGGCGCGCGCATTGTGCTGCCAGACAATGGCTTGCGACCCGTCGCCGTGGTGCAGGTCAAAGTCGATGATGGCGGCATGGGTCAGCCCATGTGTGAGAGCGCCATGCATGATGCCTACCAGCACATTGTTCACCCAGCAAAATCCCGAGGGGTGCGCAGCGGCGCAGTGGTGGCCCGGCGGTCTCACGGCAACGAATGCGCGCCGCGGGGCTGGGGCTGGGCTAAAGACGGCGTCCACACCGTCGCATACGGCGCCGAGAGCGCCCTGCATAGCATTCAATGACTCGGCGCATAGGTATAGGTCGCCTTCGTGCAGCGGTTGCGCCGGCTGGTCTCTTTCGATGTTATCGGGTCTTGAAAGATCTTTGCCGCCCAAGGCCAGCTTGGATTCAGCAGTATCGCACATTATTTTGAGCTCCTCCATCCACTTGGTACCGTGAACGTTTGTGACAGCAGCGGACGTCAAGGGCACACTCCGCGTCGATTTGCGAATGAGGAATGGAATCTTGGGGATTTCGTGAATCTTGGCTTTGGGATGCACCGGGTACGCGCCCTGGTCGTGTCGGTCGCCGAGCCGTACATATGCCAGCGATACACCCAAAACAGCAGCCTTGACTCGTTCAGGCCGCTCGACAATTGTGCTCAGCGCATTGCGCGACGTTCGAGGCCGGGAAAAGCGGTGGCCGTACACGGCATCGTGTAGAATGACAACAGTCTCGGACGGCAACGTCGCCTCGGGCCCGTGGTGTATCTGTAATTCGGCGCGAAAATAGTCAGCGGCGACCGACGCCGCAGTCAGCGGCGGCTTCTGCTCCTCGGCCTGCAGGTTGCCCACCGACGGCGATCGCGACATCCTGGGGGACAAGGTTTGGGTCATGCTTGAGCGACGCGACGGCGCGCGGACAGAGCCGTGGCCGCTGGCAGAGTGTAGCGAGTTCATGGACGCTTTGCGGAGCAAGGGCGGTGTCGTAGGCCGCGAATCTCGTCCGGACGGGCTTCGGGAGGGCATACGGTGGCCGGGCGACTGCGAGGTGCGTCGCGAGGACGACTGCTGCTGCAGCGGGCGCGACGCCTCGGACGGGCGGCGCGCGCCATTCCTTGGATCGCCCGAGGTCAGCAGCGACAGCTGACTGAGCGACTGCGTGAGTCGATTGTCGTCGTCGGTCACGGTCACGGCTGCGGTTGTGGTGGTGGTGGCGGTGATTGTGTGGGAGGAGAGTCGCCGTGGCGGCACGGGGGCTGCAGTGGACGGCGTCATGATGCTGTGTAAATGATCATGGGCCCTGAGGGCAATGTGTTTCTCTAAATAGATGCAAAAGTAGCAGACAGTGCAGTTATAGAGGCTCGAGGTATATTAAACCGTGCCGTTTGTGGTTGGTTATAGGCGGTGGTGGCGGGGTTCCAACGTTTGTTGTTGTGCCAAAGTTAAGTTGGCCCCTGGCTGGCAGAGGAGAGAGGCATGGTGGTGTTGTATTAGTGGGCTGGTTTGTTCAACTGCGTAACAGCCGCTTTGCTTTGGTTGGCTGTGGATTTGCTAAATACTACTCCGTAACAGAATTAGGGTTAGATTAATCTTGGCAAATTTTTTCTGTGTTTTTTATTCTCCTTGTCTTGCCTGATATCCTTGCTCTCCCGTCATGCCATGTTTCACCCGTTAAACCGTGGACTACGAACCGCGCAACCCCGGACGAGACAAGCACACGTGAGAGGTTCCTCACTAATAAGGTGTAAGGGAAAAATGAAATTAAACAATCTGATTACACTCTTCTCAAAGGAGTTGCACCACGTTTGTTCAAAGGGTTGACCATAACTTAGCTACAAATGCGTAACCCCAACTGCAAACGCATAATGTGGACCATTGTTATTCTAAAAGCTATTTATGCATTGCGTGTCGCGGCCGCAAAATGCGCGTTTGTTCACGTGCTACAAGATAGCAGATTCTTTGGTGCTAATTCGTCTGAATCTGCTTTTCCTGGTTGGTGATTTTTGCACTATCAATTTAGCTTGGCCGTCACCGTCTGCTGTTGGCCAATGTTCAGATTTATCCTGGGTTTTGTTTTCCGCAGCATCATCCCCGGAGGCGAGCTGCACACCAGGCGCTCAGGGTGATGGGAACTTTGCTCCAAATATCCAAACCGACTTTTCTTGTTAGGTGAGTCTCAATGGTTGAGTTTGGGCTACTTATACGAATTTCTTCTCCCGTTTCATGCTCGCTTGCTGGCCTAAGCTAGACAGGATGCTCTGGTCGCGACAGCTGAGACCAGAACTAGGCAATACGAGGTGTAACCAAGAAATACGCAACACCCTTTCTCAACGAGACTCAAAAAGTAAAGTCAAGTGTAGAATGCAAATCTTCTGCATGGAAATCATCTTTCAACAAATCTGACCGAAGATGAACGCTAAACGCGCTGTAGTAGCTAA